CAAATATTCTTTTTATTATTAAATGATGTTGGAAAATTATTATCGTTAACTAGTAAATAAATAATATTTATAAAAAATAAAAGACATTTACTACATAAGGGTAAAAACAAGCGATTTCTCCTTGTGTAATTATAAAATGGATGTGGAATAATAGTAAGCACTCTAGAAAAATCACTCAATATTTTTCATGAAAGATGATCAGTCTTCCACATTTATATAGGTGATCCCACCAAGTGTATCTTAATATAAACTGTTCAAATTAGGGCTATTAAATCACTAATTGCATTTAATAAGTTTATCATCTCAAATAAAAAATTTGATAAATTCATCAAGTATCTTAATAAGACCACTGGAATTTTAGAATATAATTTATTAAGAACGTTTAATATGTCATCGTTTCAAATTAAATTTTGATGAATTCTTCAAGTTCGTCTTAATAGAGTCGCTCAAATCTTGAGATATGAATTATTGAAAAACAAAAGGCTCAACGTTACAAATGTACGTAGTACACCATAAATACAAAAGGCTCAATCCTACATTTATATTTTAGTTGTTATATGATCTTATTTAATGCTTGTTGGTCTAGTGAAAGAGGTTGAAGAGCCTTCTAAGGTCAACGGGAAGGGAAAAGTTTTAAGGAGGAGATCAAATGGTTTCCAATGATGTTTTGCATTTAGGTAGTACACATTTAACTTTAAAATACTTTTGATGCATTTAAGCTCAATCCAAGATTAAGATTAATGTGTAATTAATTGATGACAATGTGTTGTCACTGACATGGTGGTGTTAAAATAAATACATATTATAATTTTATATTTAAAAGAATTAATTATTATAACTATCAAACTATATATATATATATATATATATATATATGATAAAATATTATATGAATTGAAATAAATTTATATATTTAAAATATAGATATTTATTGTAACTATCAAACTTTATTCATATATATATATATATATATATATATATATGATAAAATCTAATTTGAGTTGAATTAGGTTTTTGAAAGCTATAAATAGGCATGAGGTCTGACAATCAAATTATACTTTGAGTTAAAATTTTCTAACATTTAGAGAATAAAAATTGTTTGTTCCATCTGGAGAGACTGCGTAGATGTCGTGACACTATCATGGCAACTTGGAATCGACATAATGTGAAAAAAAATTGAATTCACAACTCTGCAATCTCAAATTAAAAGTTTCCAGACGAAAAGAAGATAATATTTCGAAATCTTATTATTGATTCGTTTGTCTCACTTGGATCTCTGAAGATCATCAAATTAATTTTTTTTACTACACTATAGGGTATATTGCCGATTCCAACACATACTTCTAACTCTAAAGTTGTTATTTTTTTTGTTATTTTGTATTGAGATTTAGCAATATTATAGCTCCGATTTTTATATAAAATACTTTATATTGTTCATAAATGAAATTGTTTACCTTATATGCTAAAAATGGTGTTTAATTATCATGAACTTATATGGTTTGAAATTTGAATGTTGCTTGGATGGCCTAATGTTGTATATTTGATACATTGTTATTCTAGATCAAAATTAAGGTGTTATATGAAATTAGATTACATCATTTTATATATATTCAATTTGTTTTACAATAGCTTACTAGAACCGCAAGGTCTTCAAAAATTGTGATACCCAATTCATTATTTCATTAAAAAATTTAAACAAACACTTTGTAGAAACGATTTTAAAATCTGATTTTTAAAATATCTCGTCTCGAATAATTTGGTGACCTGTTAATAATAAAACGAGATTCAAAGAGTCACCACCAATATTTGATTATGGTGTGATTGGACACCCAAAAATGTATTTGTCATTTTAATAAAAATATTAATTCTAATTAAGAAAAATTTGCGATATGCGCTACCAAAATTTAAGTTTGGGAGTCGGTTACGCGCGAAGAAGGAATAGCAGCCCCACAGCGCCCTAAATCGATACCTAGTCGATTAATTAATTGTCTTTGCAATGAAATTTAAGAACTCGTTGTGGACACGGCTTAATCCGATGAGGCTCATTACAAATGAAACACCTTAATGAGGGTCTATTCCCTCTATTGCTCGATCCAGAACCAGACGGGACTTTATTTTGGGTTGGGTCCCTTCCAGGGAAATTCCTATTCGCTCCCCAACCCATTGTCTTCTCCCCTCAAGCCAACTTGTTCCCACCCACCTATTAGGTATCCACTATACTCGTAGAAGGCACCTTACGCTTTCCACGACAATTAGTGTATTCATTAAGTCACTCAACAATGACTATCGCTACTGTCAGATCTTGCATCTTCTGCCTTTGTAACTCAAGCATCGCCCACTGCTTAAGCCCTCCAAGGAAATGAAACAATTTATCCCTTTCAGATATGTCCTTGATATCTAGCACCAAGGTTGAGAACTCTCTCACATGCTCCCGTATGAGACAATTTCCTCAACTTCTTACGAGCGTCACCTGCCAGATACATCGACCATCCCAACCTCATCTTCCTCAGATTCGGTGCGTATTGCTTGAAAATACTACTCCATGTCAACCAGAAAATTCTCATGCTCTTTAGCATCCCTTGCCCCGTCAAACGTTGGGGATCAAAGATCTTGGATCATACACCCCCTTTCATAGGGTTCGCAGTCAAACAAGCTACAACCACTTGAAGCACACACTAACTTAAGCCTTCAACTCCTCATATCCAAGTTATATGACACCTATGACATCTCTCGCATCGTTCCCCAATTCAATCATTATCTTCGCCAATTCCTCTTAAGTCTCCTCGACTCTCCTCATTCGATCACCAGAGATCATATGAACTCTACAAACCGTTCACGCGACTTTAATCTCATCTAACTTTCATCGATCAATAGAACATGTCTCCTGTATGACAGGCGCTACAACTTCTTGCTCCTCACCTCTGTGAGAACTTGTTAATCCATCATTACGTATACGAACCATTCCCTTTAGTTTGTCGGCACCTCTATACCTACAACACAAATGAGGCACTACCATGCCTAAAAAGAAAAGCACCACTATGCTAAATTCATAGCACCTTTGTGCTTGAATTAACGATTGAGCACCTCGATCGAAAAAATGACACCTCTGTGCAGTTAAAAAATGACTGAGCACCTCTGTGCTTCAGTCTAGAATCTGGCACCTCTGTGCTTTGGGGATTGAGCACCTATGTGCTTCAATCTAGGATCTAGCACCTATGTTCTTTTAGGGATGATTAAGCACCTATGTGCTTCAATCTAAAATCCGGCATCTCTGTGCATTAAGGAAACGGTTGAGCACCTTTGTGCATCAATCTTTGAATTGGCACTTTTGTGCATTAAATAAACGATAGAACACCTCTGTGCAACAATCTTTAAACTGGCACCTCTGTGCATTTACCCCACTGTTTCACCCTGCCTACTCCACTCATTGAAGCGCTTGGCGTGAAATAAAAATGAAGAAACTCAAATCATCTGCCAAAACCAAACCATTTTGGTTCTGATACCAAGTGTCACGGACATAACATCTCGGCCATGTTGTTATGATGTGCATAACTTAAATAGGACAACTCCCAGACAAGTCAAGTCTTTCTCAACATAGATCCATGCCTCAAATTATCTCTTCATGAAGTCAAGTCACATTGGCTAAGAATCATTCTTCGGTTCATTAGTCGAACTCATAGTATCTTGTCCAAACAAACAAGCCACATATTAGTCCCAAGCCATAATATAATCCCAAAGCCACAAGTACTCTTGGAAGAAAGATCCCACGAGGCATAGCGAATGCTAGGTTGCAAACCCACTCCTCAACCAATACGCGATATGGGGCCCAATAGCCCCAAACCGTCCCTAGGCATCATCCTAAAGAGACATCGTACCATCCGCTTGGTCTCGATGCCTACACACCTAGGTTCCACATGAACCTAGGAAAAGGTCGCGTACACCATGGTAGCTCCACATGCTAGCTTAAGATGATGGGGATGGTAGTGACCCAACACTAGATCAATCCCCCCTAAAAATAAACTTACCAGCTATGACACCAATACGCGTTGGAATGTCTGAATTGAGGCCATTACCTTGACAAGCCCTCCATCTTCATTTTTCAAGCTTTTTATTGGCTCACGATCGCATCTACTCAGTCCACCATCGAGTTACTGTGAGGGTTATCTCATGGAAATGAGATGTCCCTGACACATTGCTCCCGATAACTCAAGGGCAGAGCCACATGGTGAATTGGGGTGTCAATTCTTTTTAAGAAAAATCTTACATAAATTTAATATGAAAAATAAAATGGACACCCATTTAAAATAATATTAAGGCCATTCAAAATAAATGACATCGTAATATAGATCATGGCTCCACGCATGTGGTAATTGAAAGTGACTTCTCAATAAATAATGGACCAATAACAAATCATAGAAGAAGAATATGAAAAGAAATAGCACGTACCATTAGTTACATCAGAAACTGTCTTCACCGGTGTTGATTCTTTTTTTTTTTTTATTCAACACAAGAAAAACCTATGATTCAAAGTTCAATGATGTTTAACATTCAAATTGTTTTGAGATCATAAAACAACAAACTTTGTAGTGCATAAAACATGCCAGAAAAGTTACCTTTCAACTGCAATGGTTTCACTACAAAGCCAAAAACAACAAATGGAAACACTAACAATGCCTCTCCCCATAATGCATAGCGCCAATTAAGATGTTCCCCAACCTATAAGTAAAAAATATTCTGTGGTTAATCGTCAAATATCCTCCAGACACATCTAGACAGTAAAGACATGAAAAAGCGAACTCCACTAGAAGTATAGACTACATGCATAACTTATAAGCGACAATAAAGTGATAAAGAACAAAAGAGATATCCAAACTCATGAATCCACCATAAACATATCCAATAGCAACTCCAGTCGGTATGCACATATAAAACGTTGCAAGCCAGGCAGTTCTCTCGGAGAGGATATGTTTTCAAAGTTAGGAACAAAATAAAACAAATATGCCTGAGAAATGGGAGCATTGTCGACAATAAACGGACCTGCAAGACTTATGAAATAAGCTTCTCCAACACCAACCAACCTTAAACATCAAAATCCAGCCACAATTTTTTAAGAACAAATTGAAGCACAAGGAACCAACACTAAAACCAATCCTCGGAGAGTATTGAAATTGTTAACTTACATGTGGCATATTGCAATAAACCAAAAGGTAGGTGCAGCAACACATCCAGCAGTAGCCAAGGTAAAAACAGATAATCCAACTCCGATAAGCCTAAAAGGGTTGTGGCTGCAGTCATAGAAATCAACCAACATTATGAACCAAATCAACATGTAAATAACTGTCAAAAAACCTGCAAAAATTACATCAATGAACCCTAAAATTAATACTGGTTCTATTTAGCATTTAACATAACAGTACTAAACAGCTAATGTCAAAATGGCACATTGAAGAAGTTTAGATTTTGAAAAATTTAAAACGGGAAACACAAAAGGAAATTTACCTCTTTCTTTGCTAAGGAAGCTAATACTAGGGACGACACTAGAAGTCCAACCATGAATGCACACGACAAGAGATCATCTTGAAAATTAGTTAAGCCAAAATCTCCCCTGCAAGCAAACATCTTTTAAGACAACCAAAAATAATAAGAAATTGTACAACATCCGAATTTCCACAGCAAAACCGAAACATTTCCAGTAAAACCATAATGAATCCCAATAGCAGATTTGCAAATTCCTTTGTCATCACAAGTCTTCCTCTTCCCATTAACACCATTGCTAGCTATAGTTCCTCGATCCAAATAATTTATCATGTAAACCACACAAAATAGAATCAATAACCTACGAGAAAAAGAGCAAAAACTAATAAAGAATTAACATCTTTATCTAAAAAGAAATCAACTTTAGGAAAAAAGTTCCACCTTCACTTAAATTTATTCTATATACCCAATTGCACTTGTGGAAACGAGAAGGAAGTGAAATTAGAGCATAATTTGCAGATAAAACCCCTTAACAACAAAGTGTTGGAAGAGTTAAGGAAAATTCACCGTCTGGTAGTGAACCATGAAGGAGTCGTCATGGTGGAGGAAGAAGCAGCCACGTCTTGTGGTTGCGGGTTTGATAGCTCAACTGAGCCGTCTTTTTCCTCTTCCGTTGGAGGAATTGTAGATGGTGACGCCACAAAAATAAGATTTTAGTTTCATTCTTTCTTTTACCAAGAAAGATAATCGTTTCCCCTTCTTTTTTTCCCTCCTCAAATTCTCATTTTTTTTCTATTTTCTGGGGTTTTACTTTTAGTTATTTATAATAATAGAGTTACGGCTTGAAACTGTGCTTCTGCCATCGGATCTGTCGTTTTCTATCAAGTGTTTCGGGTTATTCTTGAAATGGCCCCAAAATTATCCACCTTATCACTGTAAAAAATATTTTATTTAATATTTTCACACATTAATTTTTTATTTAAAATATTTTGGTTTATCCTAACAATAATTTAAAACTAAAAAAATAATATCAAGGAAATTTTATTTAAGATCAGTTTATATTTAACCCCCTCAAAATGTATTTTATTATATTTAAAAAAAGAAATATAATTCTAAAAAATAATTTAGTACGATTAAAAGTATAAGATATAATTGAATAAAAATGAGTAGTTAAAACATAATTATTTACATATAATGTACAAAAAAAAAATATAATCGTACCTCAAGATCATGTTGGACAAGTTCTTGGGGGTTTCGCTCAATCGATGTGAGGTGCTCTTGACCTTATTTTGGTTAATATTTTTGCAGTTGTCCTGAATCTTGCTATCGAAAGGCAATGGGAGAATTCTCACTTTTAATCTGATTGTGTTATCCTGGTTAACAAGTTACTTCGTGATGAGGAGGACATCTCTACTTTGACAATACATATTCAACAGGCTAAAGACCGTTTCAAAATGTTTCCGCGTTTTCATATTAGTTTAATTCAAAGATATTGTCGCAGATAGTTTGGTTAAATGAGTCGTTCAGTCTTTGAGGGCTTTTGTATTTTGACTCGGTTTGTCCCGAAATTATCTCTATAGAAGTTGTGAACAATGTAACAGTTATTTGATATATAATTTGGGGTACTCTTTTCCTCTCATAGGTCCAACCCTTTATTGTTGGGTGAGAAGAGTTTTTAATAAGCCCTTTAAGTTTCAAAAGAAAATAATAATTTAAAAAATATAGCTCATCAAGTAGTCTCAATCGTAAAAACATAATTTTGTTCTCTCCATATGTTCAACCCTTTGGTGTGTGTTGTCAATTGATTAAGAAAATTATAAACATATATCACCTTATAATCATCTTAGATTATTAAAAAAAACATAATTTAAAGAAACAAACAAAACAATTTATTTCATAAGAAACTAAAAAAAAATATTTTTTAATACTTAGATTAGTTGATAAATTAAAATATTAAAATGATATAAAAATATTAGAGTATATAAGGTTAAAGTAAAATTATAATTATCTAACCAACAACTAGTTGGTCTGGTGACGAGATATTTGTTGAAATATGTTTTGATATAACAAATTTAAAGACAAAATATTTTTGGACTTGAATTGAATTTATTCAAAGTTTTCAAAAGGTTTCAAAAATAATTCAAAGTCCATTAAAATCAGATTTGAGCAAAAATTCCAGAATGCAAAGAGGGTACCGATACCCCCTGGAAGGCAAAAATTCCAGAATGCTCATAAGGTACCGATACCCCCTGCAGGGGTATCTATACCCCCTGGCTGCAACGACTAGTTAATTTGAATTTTATGAAGGAGTATCGATATCCTATGTAGGGGTATCGATACCCCCTATTATGGACAACCTTTTGAGTAGAAAAATCATCCCCAAACGGCTCCAAAACATCCCCAACGACTATATACGACTTCAAACACATTCCAAGCTATAAATACAAGGTAAGGACACTTGAAGAAACAAGAGAACAACTAACCAAGCAATCAAACACAAGAGAAGAGTTTCTCATTCTTATTTCATCTTTCTCTTGTAAATATTTTGTTCTTGTGAGCTCAATCTTGTAAACACCTACCTTAGAGAGATTTTCTTGTTTACATCATTTATCATTTTGTAAAGGGGAAAGGTTCTAGCTTATCCCGTGTAAAAGCTAGGTAAATGTTCTAGTTTAGCCCGGAAAAACTAGAGAGTTGTAAGGTTATCTCTTTGTCCTCAAAAGAAAGAACAAATTAGTGAATTTGTTGGAAAATCCTTGGTGAGGAGTTAAGGTACTGGACGTACACTTTGGTTGAGAAAGTCGAACCACTATAAATCACTGTGCAATTCTTTATCTTTCAATCTCCTTACTCCCTAAACGCAAAAACTGTCCCAGCCCCTCTTTGCAAACCGATTCTATTATTGATTCGAGCTTCCGAAAATCCCAACAATTGGAATCAAAGCCTAACTCGTTAGAAGGCTTAACATCCTTGAGACGATCCTCGAAGAAGCTCTACCAATTCTCGACGCAACCGACAAAGAAATGACTTTTTCCTCCGGTGCTTATTACTTTGAAGATTATCCTATTATGGATTAACAACCGGTCAACAAGACACCCTTCTTCAATGGAGCAAATTATGCACATTGGAAGAATAAGATGATGTACTTTATTCAATCATACAATCTAGGAGCTTGGAACTCAATCATGGACAACTAATTCTCTCCACCTGGCAAGTACAACGATTGGAGTAGAGAAGAGCAGAAAAATTTCCAGCTTAATTCTAAGGCTATACATATTCTATTTTGTTCTTTAGGCCCAAATGAATATGGAAGAATCTCATCTTGTTCCAGTGCCAAAGAGATTTTGGACAAGCTCCAAATCACTCATGAAGGAACTGACGAAGTAAGGGAATCAAATAAAAGACTTCTCAATCATAGCTACAAGAACTTCAAGATGAAACCCGATGAAGACATCAAAGCAATAACGGATAGATTTTCCGTGATTGTCAACGGTCTCAAGGGATATAGAGAAGTAATCCCTAATGAGAAGCTTGTAAGGAAGATGATCTACTCTCTTCCAAAGAAGTGGCAATCGAAGAAGACGACCATTATCGAAGTAAGAAACCTAAAGTCTCTCACTCTCGACGAGTTAATTGGTTACCTTATCACTCATGAGATGATGGTGAATGAAGATGAAGAAAGGGAAGAGAAGAAAAACAAGAAGAAGAAGAATAATGAGGTAGGCATTGCCTTCAAATCCACCAATGAAAGCTATCAAGATTCAAGTGATGAGGTGGATGAAGACGATGATGAACAAGAAGATGAGATGGTCAAGTTCTTGAAGGAACTCAAGAGATTCATGATTTCCAAGGAAGTGAGACATGAATCAACCAAGAAGAAGAGTCTCCTGGTGTGCTTCAATTGTCAAAGAAAGGGGCATGTAAAGTATGAATGTCTTCTTCTAAAGAAAAAGGGGAATAAGGCATTTGTTGCATCTTGGAGCGATGAAGATGATTCTAATGATGAAGATGAAGTAGTCAACCTATGCCTCATGACCACTCAAGAAGAATTTGAGCTTCTAACTCAAATGAATTTAATTTATTTACTTTTGATGAGTTACAAGATGCTTATAATAGGTTGTACTTGGGATTTGAGACCATGAATTCCAAATATAAAAAATTAATTTCAAAACTCAAAATTAAAGATAATTTGATTTTGAAAGCAAAAGTTGATTTTGAACATCAAAATGAAATTTTGAAAAATAATTTAGAGCTTTCAAAAATCAAAATAAATGATTTAGAAAAAGAAAATTTTGAGTTAGGACTTAAGCTTGAAAGATTAATAAAAGAAAAAGAATTAATTTCTAAAAACAACCTATTATGTTTAAATATGGAAAAATGCTCACATTGCCATTATCATGGTCATATGGAACATACTTGCCCTTTGAAGAAAGGAAAACATTTTAAAATTAGGCAAGTATGGGTTCCGAAAGGAACAATGGGCATTGAAACTAACATCCAAGGATCCAAAGCAATTTGGATACCAAAGTTGAAATAAATGTATCTTGTAGGTGTGTGTGAGAAATGGTGATGAAAATGATGATATTCAAGATGCTCTAGCTACACATGAAAAAGGAATGGGTAACCTCTAAGCTTAATGCTTTTAATTTTGTTTATTTGGTTGCTCATTTGATTTTAAGCATGCATGAGTTTTGGTTTTAAATGATTATGCATCATTGTTTTAATCTCATGTATGTTCAAAAGATGATTATGATGAACATTTTAAAGTTATATTAATTTTTAAGAATTTTTAGTTCATCATAATAAAATTTTGGTCAAAATTGGTTTTAATGCAAATGATATCTCTCTAACAATTGATATCAACTTTTCAAATTCTTTGATTTTATAAAGCTTTAAATTTTTCACCTAAATTTGAATGTTTATGCATGCGGTTTAAATGAAAATGAAATCTCTCTAACAATTGATATCAATTTTTTTTTCAAATGCATAACATTTTTAGAAAAACTTTATGCATATGCACTTAATTTTAACAATCAGTATCAAATTTCAACAATTGGTATTGCATAAAGTATTTTAGTCTTGGATATATTGAATTTCATGCGCTACTAACATGTTTGTTATTCTTTGATGAAATTCAATTTTGTTTAAGTGTTAAGTTCTTAAAAGCTAAATTTTGTTTGGAATGCATCTATTAAGGGGGAGCTTTGATTTTTCAAATGATTTTTAAATAAAAATTTATCACTTACTCTCCAATGTAATTTTAGAACTTTAAAGATTGAATTATTTTTTATATAACAAAAAGGGGGAGAAGTTTGGTTTGAAAAATTCAATTTCTTAATGAAAAAGGGGAGCTTAACATTTTCATATATTTTCCAACAATTGGTAACAATAGGTATCTTTTTAAGAATTGATATCCTTTTGTTAACAATTGGTATCTTTTTCATTAAACATTTTATTAAAGGGGAGTTTTGCCAAAAATAATTTTTCAAATGTTTTGTTATATCAAAAAGGGAGAGATTGTTGAAATATGTTTCGATATAACAAATTTAAAGGCAAAATGTTTTTGGACTTGAATTGAATTTATTCAAAGTTTTCAAAAGGTTTCAAAAATAATTCAAAGTCCATTAAAATCGGATTTGAGCAAAAATTCCAGAATGCAAAGAGGGTACTGATACCCCCCCAAGGGTATCCATACCCACTATTATGGACAACCTTTTTGAGTAGAAAAATCATCCCCAAACGGCTCCAAAACATCCCCAACGGCTATATA